GACGAAAAAAAATAATCACAAAGCGACGCAGTCCATCACTTTTTTGTGACACTGTCCGTCGCTTTTTGAAAATCGTCGACCCGAAAAGCGGCGAACATGACTGCGTCGCTTTTCCATCGAATTTGACAAACAAAGTGATGCAGTCCGTCGCTTTTGGCCGTTGTTTTTTGGCAGTTTTTTAGTAGTGTTACTGTCACGCCCCGAGCCTACACCTTGGGCAGGACCGACACTCGAAGACCATTGCTAGCCCCCAAGCGAACCCTTGGCCTGACTTTCTTAACTCAGCGGAAACCTAACTCAACAGAATAACTCAATGCAATGAAAGGTCATAAAACAACCCAACTGATAAAAATCTGGCCAAAAAAGGCAACTCGAGTCTCAAAAATGAATATTTACATATATACATAGATGAGAGACTCAATACTAACTGACTGACTATCTATGAAGCCACTAAATGACTTAGATGGATGTTGGGACAGACCCCGCAACATCCTAATAAAGCAAAACTAAGAGAACAAAATAACCGAGCCCTCCGGAATGCAAGGAGGCTCACCACTGACTCTGGAGTGCTCAGCTGGATCAACGGCGTGCTGGATGCTGATCCTGGGTACCTGCGTCTGCATCATAATAAGATGCAGGCCAACTGGCATCAGTACTTGGAATGTACGAGTATGCGAGCTGGACCACTAAACAACAACTTAAGCTTGAAAGGGATACAAAAAGAGAACTTACCTTGGCTCTGTTCTACTCATGAATAACTGAACTCAGTATAAAGCAATGAGACACATGCAATATATATAGCTTGCAAAACTATTTAAAACATGACGTCAAAATCATATTTATAATATCATGAAAATACCATGCTTCCTCTCAAAGTCTACTTGTGCAATGCATGAATGAAGTCCCATACCCCCATCCATACTAAGCAGAACCCCTCGAGGAACCATGCAGTTTCTACTATGGGAGTTCTCTAACCGACAACCACCACTACATGTTTAAGTAGTGATACAACGGTTACCTCACGTTGCCCAAGGACCATCCTATACCTTGCCGTGATATAGGACCTTACTTTAACTTTAACTTAGTGGATCCACTAGCTTAACTTTACGTGATCATCTAAAAAGTATGACCCGTCAAATCCCATGTTTGGCTACATGGTTCTTATGGAGAGTTGAGTTAATATGAACTCGTGTCCCTAATTCGGTGCTCAAGACTACTCCCAAAAATACTTTAGCTCATTAGTGTTTTAAACACATCTTTCTTTAGTTGAGATAATTACTCAAAACTTAGCCCAAAGGCTCTTGAAAACTCTTTCTAAAAAGAACATCTCAAAACCATAATTTAATATGATCATTGATGACTCGGGATATTCATACTGCTTAAACATTGATGGTATATCTAGAGACCATACTGTTTAAACATTGATGACATACTCGATTTGTCATACTAATCATGTTTTAGAAACTCTTTCGCAAAACTCATCCTTTCTCAAAAAGAGGTAGTACTCAAACTGCTTAAAAACTCTTTTGGAAATCTCAGTTTCCTCTCATCTTAAATGTGAAAAACATTTATAAACTTCTTTGGGAATACTTAGTTCCCTAATAACTTTTGAGAAATGAACTTGACTCTTAGTCTTGGCTTAACTCGAAACTTTATACTCTTTACTTAACTTGAAACTCTATACTCTTTACTTAACTGGAAACTCTATACTCTTCTTGGAACTTGAGCCTTAAAATGAAGTTAAAACGTTCAATAAAGACTCTTGAAAAACCTTAAAGACTTGCTTTGACTTATTTAACTTCTAAGCTTGGCTCTAACTTCACTTGACTTTGATCCTAACTCGCCTTGAATTGGATTATGGATTCAAGGTATATGATCACACGTTTTAGGATGAGTTCTTGACGTTTTGACGTACCTTGGAGTGTTGGAAACAACTATGAAACATAGGTACAATACCAAGGAACATGCATGAAAAAGTGGGGAATGAAAGAGGAAACTTTGGCGTCCTTGGCGCTCTGCAAGGCGCGGGGCGCCAGCCCTCAAAGCTCAGAAGGGCAGCTGGGGCGCACTGCTAGGTGCGGCGCCCCAAGGGGAGAAGTTCAGAACACTTCTTGGGGCGCTCTGCAAGGCGCGACGCGCCACCCCTTTTCCCCGAAACTTCGACTTTTCTCCTTCATTTCTCCAACTCTAAACCTTCTCAACCTCAAAGGTTCCAGCCCCAAATACTTAGAATCATAAATCCCTCAACATACAATAGATTTCAACTCGAAAACACAACCGGAACATGTCCCAGATCAACAAGGAACTTCAACAACACAATCAACAACATCAACAATACAACTAACGATTTCAACAACACAACCAATCTTTTCTCGGTAATAAAATGAGT